TTCAGAAATGGAAAACCAGAAGTCTGGAGAATTATGCTCTTAAACCTAAAAGGTCTTTAGTGGTTTAGTGGTTTTTAAAGTAAAAAAATTATATTGTGCAAATTTTAAGTTGGGTTTCCTTGTGATGTATTACAGTTTGACTAATTTTTCTTTCAGACTCATTTCTTTCACACAGAAGAGTTTGGGTTTTTTAATTTATAACTATTGTTAACTATGTAACAATCAGTTTGTACTAAGTTGTTACATGATGAAATCTTCAGTGAAAATCTTTAGAATTTAAATTTATGTATAAGTATGTACATACATATACTAAAAAACAAAAAAAAAAACCCTTTTAAGAAAAAAATAAAAATTATCTTTTTTGAAAATCATTCAAATAGTCCTTTGCAGAAAGTTATTTCTGCTGAGATCAAGTTCTTTCCCTTTATGATAAAATAATGCTTTCTATATGTTTTCATGAGGCAAATCAAGTACAAAGAAATGTAATTCATGTGAAAACAAAATATATTATTTGTAGAATGATGCTGATTCTAACCTATTTTTTAAAGATTGTACCTTTGTACAAGAACTTCATTTCAATATTTCAATATTTCAATATTCAGGGCAGTTGGTTCACTTTGCAGCATTGTGCTCTAAACCAATCAATTGTGCTGTGCATAGGTACTGTTAAAACCAAAGCAAACTAACTTAATTTTACCAGCATGGAACTTCTGGAAACAGGGTTCTTTTATATTAATAAGCTGTTATACACATTTAAAAAAAAGAGAGAAAATTGCTGCCCAAATAAATTTATAAACTTGCTTACTACCTTTTTGTTTGAAGTCTTGCTCTAAGGCCTGTGGCTTTGGTCATTTTCTGTTAAAAAAGTAATTGATTTTGAAAGTAGATTATGTACAACTCTGAACTCATATTAATTCTACAACAGAGGGTGGTCCCTGGGCTGGGTGAGGTCAAACAATGTCCTGCGAGATGGCTTGTGGGGCTCATCTGCTCTTACCTGCCAAGAATCTGTCTGGTCACCTAGTGCTAGCACAAGTAAAGGGAGAGGAGTTTATGCTGTGACTGCTGACTACCCAATCAATGTGAAATGATGGCTTGTGTTGGAAAAGATCTTAAATATCACCTAGTTCTAACCCCATTATCATGAGCAGGGTCACTTTCCACTAAATCAGGCTGTTCAGGCCCTCATCCCTTGATCACTTCCAGGGATGGGGATGGGCCCAGCCCCCTCTGAGTTACAAAGTTTTTTTCTAATCCAAATCTTTCTTCTTTGACTTTAAAACTATTTCCCTACTTGTCCTATCCCTATCTGGCCATTTAAACAGTCATTAGCCTATTTCTTCCTTAATTACTGAGGCATGCAATGAAATCTCCCTGGAGCCTTCTGTCCTCCCAGCTCAGCAGTCCCAGCTTTCTCAACAACCTTCACAGGAAAGATGTTGCAGCCCTCAGATGATCTTTGTGACCTCCTCTGGACCTGCTTCAACAGGTCCATGTCTTTCCTGTGCTGGAGACTCCAGACTTGAATATGGAACTCCAGGTGGTGTCTCATGAGAACAGAGTGGAGAAGGAGAATCATCTCCCTTGATCTGCTTCTCACATTTATTGATGTGGCCCAGGATGCTGTTGGGCTTCTGGACTGTGAGCAGACATTGCCTGTTCACCTCAAGTTTTTTGTCCACAAGCACCCCCAAGGCCTTCTCTGCAGGATCGCTCTCAATGTGCTTCTCACAGTCTGTACTCATGTCTGGGATTGCTCTGACCCATCTACACTGTCTTGCACTTGAACTGGTTGAACCCCATGCTGTTCTTCTGAACTCACTTCTGAAGTTTCACCCAGGTTCCCTGGATGCCATCTCATCCTCCAGGTGTTTGATTTGCCCTGCTCAGCTTGGTGCCAGCTACAAACTTGCTGAACTCGATGCCACTGCCTGTGTCATTGATGAAGATATTGAAGAGCACTGGTTCCATGACAGAGCCCTGAGGGACACCACTTGTACCAGCCTCCCCCTGGACATAGAGCCATTGATCACAACTCTCTGGCTGTGTCTATCCAGATTATTCCTCATCTACCAAACTGTCCACCCTTCAAATATATATCTCCTCAATTTAGAGATAAGAATTTTGTGAGGAACTGTGTTGAAGGCCTCACAGAAGTCTAGGTAGATTATATCAGCCAGTCATCTCATCACATCATGGCTCCACTTACCCCCTAATATGTTGTAGTTGCTTAAAATAGAAGCTTTAGCTTCCTTTTTCAGCCCTGTTGAAGAGTAAAGACAGTTAAATATAAAGCCATCTAACTTTGAGGAACTTAACATCATCTGGTATCACCTATTTTAGAACCTAAGTATTAAGGAGGAATTCCTGGTATGTGTGCACCCTGGAAAATTGCATTAACATAGAGCATAATGGTTTGTTTCCTGACTCTCAGATATAAGTGTAACTGCTTGAGTTCCCAGAAAGGCACAAGACAAAGTACCCTAACAAAGTAAATTGGGGAGGGATGTACTGTAACAATGTATTCTAATATAATGGTTCACCTTTGGTCTCTACAGGGTGTCTGTGGCACCAGTTCAACATAGCATTTAAATGTATGCAAATGACAATCATGATGCACTGCTTGAAGGCATCTCTGGAAGCCTTTCCAAAGGACCTTTTGATCAGGGCAGTCTAAAAGGCCATGCTGTTTTGCCAATCAAACCTTGAAGGTCCTGCTTTGAAAATATTCTCATGAAATTTCAGTAATCTTTAGTATAATTAGAACATTATCTGCATGTATTTAATTTCCCTCCTCCTTTCTGTGGATTTTTTCCATTGGTTATTAGTTGTCAGGCTATTACATATTCACAGCATGCATCAGTCTGACCACAGAAAGGTTCTTTCACCACAAAGGTTGGGTGTTCTTCTCCCTAAATGTTGTTGAAGCTATTTATACTCTTGTTACATATTTATAGAAGAGTTGATTTCTATCTTAATAGTAACATCTTCCCTCTGCAAAAGCCTTAACCCACCTGAATTTGATGGGAACATGCAGGATTGCCTCAGCTGTTGTGTGATTCCCTGACAATTGTTTTGATATTCACAGGTTTCTTCTCTTGCTAAGACAGATAAACGAAATCAGAATGAGAATTGCACCCACTGTTCTAGCAGTGCACTGTGAACTTGAGATGTAAGTGGAGCAGAAAGGGAGTGTGTCCAAACTGGTACCCATGGCAGAGCTGCTCATCCTGCTGTTATTATTAAATTTTGGGAGAGCATGGGACTAAACCATTTTTGCATCATGAAGAGGAAATCAATTAAGCATTTGCAGTATTGGACTATGTGGTATGCTGCACTAGTGAACTCCAGATATGCAGATATACATAGTTCTTCTCTGTAGATTACAATGAACATATTCTTGTACTTTAAATATTCTTCAGACCTGTTTTGCATATGACACTATCTTTCCCACATTTTTCTAAGTCATGAGAAGTACTAGTTCATTTTTTTTTTTTTAAAGCAGAGCACAGCTATATCAGCTGTGGATGCTGGTTTGATTGCAAATCCAGAAACCACAATAAAGGCTGTTTTCCTTACATCAGATGTAGTGATTAATATGTGGTAGTCTTGGGCTCCAGATTTTTACAGCTCTGTTAATTGATCATGAGCCAGAGCCTGGGGCTGTATAATTAAGTTAGCTGGGAAATTAATGCAGGAAATGGATTCTAGATTTGATTGGTTTAAAAATCTATGAATATACTTATTTAAGCCTTTTGAATTAAAGTTGGTGCCAAAAAAATTATGTTAACTACGTCTGCAATTTCATAACTTCAGGGCAGTATTATTTTTCTGCCTTTGAAATCAGTGATGTTTGCACAAAATAGAGTCATCTTAGACAACCCAGTAAAAGGCCTCTCTGTTCCTTTTTTTAAAAAAAGCTGGATTTCCTGTGTCTTTGGTGTGACACCTACAGACACAGACATTAAACAAACTGGGATCTAGGGACTAAATATCCAAACTTACAGCTTCACTGTGAACTGCTGTGGCTGTGCAAAAGCCCTCTGTGGTAAATCTAGCTTAATGTGGGTGTGACTTATACCAGCATACTGTAGAACAGGAGCAGTGATTCTGTTCTCTTCATCTGAATATTATGTATTGTGCCTAAATATTGAGAAAACAGATATTTTTTTTTCTCCCTTGTATTCTGAGATTGAAAGAGGTCTCCAAAAAAAATTAGAAATGCTATAACAAAAACATTCTTGAAAAGAGGGTAATAAGTGGCTAAATGCTCTCTTGTTCTGAGTTCATGCATTGCCTTCCCATAACTCAGGAAAATGAACAGTCAGCAACAATACTGAGGTCAGCATAATTAAGGTCAGTGCAGTCAGTCAGGGCAATACTGGACAAAAGCAAACAACTTTAGGCTTAGTGAATAGGTGAAAATACCAAGTCTTTTGAGAAAAGTTGTTTTGTTTCAGTTTAAATCTGTAATTAATGTGCATGACTTTAAGTCACACACTATATTCATCTTATTCTGTATTGGGTTATATTTGTCATGTGGTACCACATAAAATGACTTACTCAACGAGCTGCAGGTCTTCATAGAATTATTTTAGAGCTGCTTTTTCTCACAAAAGAGAGGGAAAGTGGGAAGTGACATTAGAAGAAAAGGAGAAGAAAAGGAGAAGAAAAACCATGATGAAGAAATAAAAGTGGAATAAGAAATAATTGTATCAGGACTTTGTTGCACTTTAATTGTATTCATACTTGTCAAAGAGAAAGAACTAATATCAAGGGACCTTTAATGATTCTGTATGTGGGGCATTACATATTTTCTAAGGAAAAAAGGCAAGGCAAAATAAAAAGTTCAGTACCAAAAGTGCACCAGGCTTCGGTAATAAATAAACACAGGCTGAACATAATTGGGGTGAAAGGTAATGGTTATACAATTAAATTGTTATCCTAAGGTGATGTCCTAACATTACTAGAACTGCTAAGAGGCAAATCTCTATTCCAGCTTTTAAATACAAGCTTATGTGAATGGAGGGAAAGTATTTTACTACTTTATTTACTTTATTTGGGGGCTACAGAGATGCTAGACAAGAACTGTGTCTCACCTTCTTCTCAGTTCTTGTTAACATATGATGGAACAAAGTGAGATGTCAACATACACATATCTGCATATCATCCTAAAGCAGCAGCAGATGATCAAATTCGCTGAAGTAAATGCTGTTGCTCTGGGAATGTAATGGTTTTAGTGTTAACACTGAACATGTAATAAAAGCTTCCACATTCTAATTTTTTTAAAACTCATTATAAGAGTGAAGCATGGTAAAAGAAACTTTTTAATCAAGATAAAGTGTTCTGAAAAGAGACATCTTGTAACGTTTTTATATGGACTTGCTTCTATCTCCGTGAATTATCAATCCAAACCTTATAAATTATAGAGGTTGAACCAAAAAAATCAGTATTTACTTGAAGGAAATTCCAAATTTTGAACTCCTATCAATTATGCATACTTCAAATAAATCTGACTTCTTCCAGATACACTTTTTCTTTATTCAATGGATTTAATAAAGTAGTCTTTAGAAAACAGAAAAATCTAGACAACATTTCAGATAAGACAAGTAGAGTTATAAAGATGAATCATACTTATGAAGGAGTTAGGAAGTTTGTAGAACAAAACACTAGCAGGGTTTATTTTACTCTTAGTCATCTATTTTAGTCCCTTTCAAGTTCTTCTTTTGACTAATATACTCTTTACTTAATTTCTGGGAGAAAGTGAGGTTTTATTTTTTGCCATCACAAACATTGGTAATAATGGGATAAACAGGGGTACATAATAAGGGCTTGATTTTCTTCCACTGCTGTTGACTGAAAAAATTGTAGCTGGGACAATTTCTTTTTCTTCTTCTGTGATGTGTTGTATCTACATCTTTATGAAAAGCACAACCACTGTTATTATGTTTAATTCACATTTACCCTGTTTGCTCTGTTGCCAGTTCTGTGTAATGTATGGTTTGTGGGACTCTGTGTCACCTTCTATGGAGGTATGTGATTTTAAGAAAATTAACACCATAAATACACTAATACCTAGGTATAAAGGATCCCATCCTGGTCAGTCATAACTTCATCCCAGCTTTGCATGAAAATTCCAATGTTAGCACCAAAAAAATCCATTTTTCATTATGTGGTTCTTACAGTAACGTCAGCACGGGGGGCTTTGGATCAGATTTTATTGTGCCCCACACAATTGCACATTATATTGTCTATAGAAACATTTCAGGACTGCCTTTCTTCACAGTGGGAGATAAAATCTTATGTAAAATTATGATGGGCAAATAAAAGTGAAATATAAACTGTGATGCTGATATTTATTAAGAGCATCATCCGTTTAGATTTTCCTGAACATGCCTTGTTCTCCTGTCTGAAACTTTTTTTGGGGCAGGGATTTAAACATGTAGATATTTCTATGGGGAATGAAGGCTGCATCTAACATGTCTGCTGTGTCTAAGCTCACAGGAGTTCAGTGCACACACAGGAAATGTGCAAATCCAACACTCTACACAGCACTGGACAATTTAATTCTATGAAAAAAATTGGTGGTCAATTTTTTTCTTTTTTTTTTTTTTAAGGTAGATAATAATAATAGTGAACATCACTTTGAGCAAGGCTCTGGTTTGCAGTAGTTTACTGACATTACCTTGGTCAAAAATCTGAAACAAGTATCCAATGATGGGACATATATCTACACAAATCTATGAATTTTCTAAGGTAATGAATTTCTGTGAATTCCAGGTCTCAGAACAGAGCAATAAAACTCAGAGTGCTAAGGATTTCTTCCCTTTTCAGCAAATCACACCCTCAGCAGGACAGATGTGTAGTTCTAAGCCTCTGAGGTTACAGCTAGTGACACTTCCAGATACTTGGAGGCATTTCTTCAGATCCAGTGTGAATGGCTGTAATATTGCTCCATATCATGTGAAGAAATCTCTGCAGACAGGTGAAAGTCAACAGAACAGTTTCCAGCTCTTTGTCTGTACCTGACACACAGTGCAGAATCCAGAGCTGTGGTTTGTCAGTAGTTCAAAGGGGGATGCAGAATGGTGACAGTGATATTAAGGTTCCTCACTTATTAAAGGCAGAAGTGAAATTTGTCTGGGAAGAGTGATGGATGCTCCCCATATTCCACAGAAATGTCTGAATTTTAAGCCACTCAGTGGTGTGTGCAGTGCCAGTCATGTTATTGAGGGTGAGTTTCATGAAGCAAGTATAGTGTTGTAGGCTGGTAAAGTAGGGGAAAATACAATACATGCATTGAGTAAAGGCAGTTTAAAAAGTTGTAACCATTCTTTTGAGCAACTGATTGCAAGAACTTAATTGCAGTGCTGAACAAAAAACCCCAAGACATTACCTTGGGCAAGGTGAAAAATAGCCCTTCTGTTTATCCTAATGCACTCATCATAACAGCTCTGATGAGCCCTCCTCTACAACTTTTGTACCCTGAGGAGTTAACAGAAGTACTAATAACATGAATATCAAAGACTCATCCTAATGTCTCCGGTCCTGGTTGCTTTTCCTTTCAGGAGTGTTGGTGACAGCACCGCTCTAAAGCACAGAGCCTTGGTGATAAAGCTCCTGTTCAGTTTGATGCATGAGAATTGTACTTTCTGCATTACTGCAGACAATGGAATCATTAACTCACTATCAATCACGAGGCTCTCAGCACAGCCTGCTCTCTAACAAGAAGCCATGGGGCATAAGTTATAAATAGCAGACATAAGTCAACCCCCTTGACCAGATGTAATTGTGAAAGAAGGATTGCAAACTGAGTTTGGTCGTCTGCCCAGGCTTTTCCAAAGCACACCGGTGTGCACAAGGAAACTCAGACAGAAATGTCCTGTTTCATTAGAAGGCTCTGAGGGATAGCACTGGAACTCAGTACCTTCTTCTTTTTTTCCAAGTAATCATTTTAGAAGTCTTGAGTATTACTCAGATTGAGTTAGCTTTGTCTGTTGTAACAAGACAGATTGAGTTATTTTGAGTTTTTGAAGTATTGTGAACCCGATTCTCTCTGTCATTCCATTGTCTGTGCTGGTAGAGTGCCAGAGAGTGAGTTTGTATGGGTAGGGAACAGTATATAAAGAACTAAGGTGACAGGGCAGAAAATAAATTTACATTGTTGTGGAGACCAAGACTATTACATCTCAATAGGCCCTTAGACATAGGTGTTTTAATTATTATGGTTTTTTTCTTTCTGCATTTGTAGTTTGGTTCCTTGAGAGATGTTAAATGGGTGAATTCATACAGCACTCTTCTGACTTTACTGATTCTCTTCCATGGAAAGCAAATGAAAACTATTTTAATTGCCTTTCTTAGAGAGAATGAGATCACAAACAAGATGCAATCTCTTTTTATAGTTCTCTTTGTTACCTGGCATGAAGGGCTAGTATAAGCTTTTAAAAGTGGGCAATTCTGACATAAAAGTGGGGTGGTCAAGGTCTGTGATACTTCAATGACTTCCACTGACAGCTTTATCAAAATTAAATTGCCTACTCTTCTATTCTGTAGTAGAAATCCTGAGAGAAGGTAGCACTGAAATAGCTCACTGTTTTGAGCTGAAATGTACTCCATCCCTTATGCAAAAGGATTTGCTGTAGCAAAGGAGTGTAATTTATACCTTCCTGTGACAGCCTTTGTGACTTTGACCTGGAAAGTAAAAAAGAACTCAGGCATAGTTATTGAAGACTGCTATAAATAGATGTAAATGCAGAGGCTTATCTTAAGCTTAACAATAAGTTGTCTTTACTGTGCTAACAAACTAGACCACACAGCTTTGTTTTGGTTTTCACCTGAAGTATAGACCTGTGTGGTCTAGATGGATGATATCAATTGCATTTGAAAGCCTGATAAAACGGAATGCAGATGATTTATCTAGCTAATACCAACCTCTCCATAAAAGCCACAGTCATTAGTAAACCTTGGCATATATATATCATTCTCATTCTTGTGAATGCATTGTAAATGCCTTTTTAAAATGCATGCATCTTCCTTACTTTAAGGATTTTTTTTCTCAGTGGCTGAGAGCAGTGGATTACAATGATTTTTCTGCAATTTACTGTGAGACATTGTAACTGAAGCATGATAACTCTGCAGATAGTGAGGCATTAATCAGTATTGCATACTCATACTCACACACACAATTCTTCACGCTGCTTCTGTCAATGGCTGAAAAACGTGCTGGTTGAGAAAGTATTATATTAAAATAAATGAAAACTTGTTTACACCTCTGGTGCCTTGAGAACAGCCCCTTCAAACATCTAAAACCACCCCAGAATTCCAGGCAGTCATGCAGTGCCCCTACTGTTGTAAGATCATGCTACTGTATGTGAATAATTTAACACGTAAGATGCCACAGTTTATGACTCCTTTAAAACTGCTCTTCCCTAGAACCCGTATTTTATAAACCTGTGTGAAGAGTAGGCAATACATAATTATCACTGAACATGGTTTCTGCATGCTACAGAAAATTATTTGAAACTGGTTTGAAAGGAAATTTGAAGAATGAGTGTAATGAGGGAAGTCATAGGGACATTAATGTGCCCACATTTAGTGAGAAATGTTTTCTTAAAGCTCCCTGGTTGCCAACATGCACATGGCTATATGCATAACTTTTTTTGAATCATAGACACAAGGAAAACTATTCCAGCATTTTTCAAAGAAATATAAAATTCTAGTGAAGTAAAAAATTGTTAGAGGGGAAATATTTGATTATTATATTTTAATAATGTTTATTTCCCCTAAGTGCCAGCTTGTGACACATTCTGATTTCTAGATGTGTAATTTTGATGTTAAAAGATGGAGTTTCTTAATCTGACACTTCTGAGCCTTCATTCCACACCGTGATTGATATATTTTGGCCCAAACTTGAGTAGTAAGGACAAGGTAAAGAAGTTGCTGTCATTTTTCTAAGATTTAGAAATTAAATTTTCTCTTGAGGCACATTAGAAAATCATTTTGGTAGGCAAGAAACATGAATTTCAGGAATGAAACTTAGAAACTTCATTTATTGAAGAAGGAATTTATTATGTATGAGAATCTCATTTGCAGCTGACATTGCTTATAAAAGTGCATCAGGATGAAACTCCATGTGTGTGAAGAACAGTAATATAATGGCTTCAGAAAATTAAATTTTGGAAGGAAATTTGTTACAATTCATCCTTGAATTTAGTATTGGGAATGTGAGCCTGAGTGTAGGTCAGAGGTTCAGGGCTTAAAAATACCATTGCACGAAGATGCAAAAACTCATCATTGCCATATATGAGTATTTAGTACCTGTATTTCTTGAAGCTGCTAAAACCAAGTCTCAGGGTAGTGAATTCATTCCTGCTGTGCATTGATTCTCTCATGACAAACTGAGAATTACTGCAGAACCATAACTCAAGGGTGCTTGCTCAGATGATGTGATTTGAGGCACTGGCAGGAATCTGAGTAGTCTCCATTCCTCAACTGCATTTCAGTTTGCAGAGCACAGCTACAGGCTGCTTTTCTAGAGAGCCAGCCAGCATTATTTTACTTATATTTCAGATTGTTGATATTTTCAGCAGAGCAAGGGTCAAATGTTGTGCAATGTTTTGTGTGGTCAGAAAAGGAATATTACTAAATGCTTTTATATTTTTTAGTTTTTGGACTGCCCCAGAGAGGTCACTTTGACTTTTCTAACTGATTACTTCCTCTCCTTTTGCTTACAGCAGTTTCCTCCATCTCCTGGTATTCTCTCCTCCCCTGATTTCCTCTTCTGAGGGCAAGCTGCTTCTTTTAAGGCCCCTCCATTGCCAAAGGGAGCTGTTGAAAATGGGAGATCTGTACTCTTTGTCTCTAATCTATTACTCTATAGTACAGATCAGAGTTTCTCTAGTTAACTGTAATATACATCTTGAGATTTATGCCCAGGCTGAGCTCAAGACCAGGCAAGCTGTGTTTGTGGTTTGTATAACCACAAGCAGCTGGAGAAGACCCATTAGGGAACAAAGGACTCCTTATA